GCACACACACACACACACACACACACACACACACATACATATATATATAATTATAAAGTCCTAAACAAATATATATATATATATATATATATATAATTGTACACATGCGAAATTGTTTTAGGATTCAGTCAAGCATTCAACAGCTTCTTTATATTTATATAGAATAGAAAGACTAACAGACTTTAAAATAAAATTGTTCGAAAGCTAATAAATATAATATATAGATATCTACAGCTATATATATATATATATATATATATATATATATATATATATATATATATATTAATGTATGTGTGTGTATGTGTGTTTATGTGTGTATGTGTGTGTATGCGAGTGTATTTCATACCTTTTAAATATACACATTTGTATATCCAAATTACAATAGGTTGTAGCAGCGAATAGATCAAGAATTCACGGATTGAAATCGATAACTCCCTAACTAAAGAAAGCCAGGATGTTGTTGTAATGGATGAGGCGCCTGATGCTGCGTTTGCTGCCGCTGCTTATGTGGCCAGGTTCGAATGCAAAGTGATCCACGCCTATCACATTCAGTGTTTGTGTGTGTTTGTTTGTGTGTTTGTTTGTGTGCGTGTGTGTGTGTGTTGTGTGTGTGTGTGTGTGTGTGTGGTGTGGTGTTGATACTTCTGTTAGTTAATTTAGAGATAGTTGCAAATAATAAAAGAAATACGAATGAACCATATTACAATTGTGATTTCTCTTTCTTTTGAAACTTCTGAACATTTATTCTTTGTCAGTTTAGTGTTTACATTATGTGTTGATGTATGTGTAATGATGTATGTATATATGTATGTGTGAAATGTGTTGTTGTGTGTGTGTGATTGTATGTGTGTATGTGTGAAGTGTGTTTTTGTGTGATTATGATTGTATGTGTGTGATTGTATGTGTGCGATTGATTGTGTGTGTGTGTGTGTGTGTGTGGTGTGTGTGTGCGGATTTGTGTTTGTTTTATAATTTAAATTTGTTTGCTCAAACTGAATCTATTAATTTTATTTTATATTCAAAAAATGTGACTACAATAATCAACGTCTTTGCCGTAGTCATCATCATTATCATCACCATTAGATCATCATCATTATCATCATTATCACCATTATATCATCATCATCACCATTAGATCATCATCATCGTCATCATCACCATACCATCATCGTCATCATTACATCATCACCAGCACCATCATCATCGAAACAAGGATCTTTCCAGATAATCGAGCGCTCTTTCAAGAACGAGCGGAAAATGGTGGCAGACGGCGTCTGCAGAGATGATGACGTCAGTGAGGTCCCTGGTCTCCCTGTGGCAGAAGTGGGCCTCGTACCGCGTCGGCTGCTTCTTGCCGCTGTGGTGGCTGGTGGCGTCATCGTCGTCGTCGTTACTCACTCATCATCATCAAATCTATCAT